AAGCATATCAGTTCATTGTATCATCTCTTCGCTAAGTGCTTTATTGTCTAAATATTCTAAAATTTATAACAACTCATAGCAAATGTAACAGAATGAAATGATCAAAGCTTTAGAACAGAACACGGTTGCACCCGAAAAGAAATCAAGCATCAAACATTTCTATATCCGGTACAGATTTATACTTCATGATTAAGCATTTCTAGAGACATTCTAGGAAAGAGAAAGGTACAAATAGCCACTCGATTAGAAAAAACTACAGTCAGGAAATGAATAGCAAACACAATGGAGAGGATAGTGTGATTACCTTCCCACAACATTTGTTGGTATTTGTTAACGCACATAGAAAAATCCACAAGCGCATGGATACCGATGTAGCTTTTATCTGGGAGTATTCCAGAGTATCGTATTTATCCACATGGAATGTGAAGTGTTCTAGTAAGAATCAAGGTCGTCTAAAGGTAAAGATAGAAAAGTGTTTTTGTGGGTAGAGAGAGATTTTCTATGGCTTATGCTAGATAACTAAGGATCAAGCTTACTATACTTTACTTACTTTGGAGCAACAATACATTTTTGACTCTCGAAATAGGTGAGAAAAGTAGTCGGGGGAAGGCTGCCTAAGCTCTACGAAACACCAATCCTAACATGGTGGATTGCAACGGCCTGACAGAGCTGTCACATCTAGGGCTACCATAACTAACTGTGAGATTGGGCCCAAACTCAGGTAAACACTAGCCTAGACACCATGTCTACGCTAATGATTACTACTCTAATCCAGATCTTAAGACTAGAGCACTCAACGCAAGCGGAATCCCAGTAAATAAAATATAGTAAAGATTGAATTCAATTAACTAGAGAACTTAAAAATACCAATAGAAGAACCTGGATGTAGCTCAAAGATGAATCAGATCCGTAGAGGTACAAAGTCGAGAAGAATCTGACAGATTCGGCTCCTCCTTAGATCTCTCTCCTCTCCTCTCTCCCTATTTTCTATAATTCAACTAGATGAGAATCATCTAGAGGGACACTACTACAATTAGGGTATGAAATAATAAAGCTCTAGAGCATAGGGTATGTAGATGTGTGTCTCCTGGAGGACGTCTAGGCGTCCTTATATAGGCCGAGATAGAGTAGAGGGCAAGGAATTGCCACGTCAACTCCCTCGATCATCGTTGGATGAACCGACTTAAAACAGCCTTAAAATCAACGGTGTAGATGTTAGGACCGCATACGAGGCGGCGAAGGGCGAACGACCTCCGGAGTGGGCCGGGTGGCCTCCCTAGTGGGCCGGCCAGTCCACTATTGTGGCCATTTGGCCCAAGCTTCGGCGTGGTGTCCTCTTGAACATTCTAGAGTTGTCTTTCGTAGTTTTTGTGGGTTGAATCACTTGTTGTCGTCGGTTTGCTTGTTTGGAGTGTATGACAATGGTCCTGGGGCTATTTTCTAGGTAAATTCTCCTGCATACAAATATCCACCAAAGCTCATGGAATCCATTAGTTTAGACCTCTATCCTATGTTTGGTGATGGAATTATGTATATACATAGGTTATGTTAATGGTTTATGAGTGGCATTAATAACCGTCAACAAGTTCCCCCACACTTGTTCTTTGCTCATCCTCGAGTAAAGGTTAGAATAATGTAAACATAAACATAACTTTTCATGACATGGAACTAGCATACGGATTATTCCAAAACATTCCTTATACCTGCGAGATATGTGGAGTGGCTAACATATCTCCTTGAGCGGTTGAAAAGTGGAACAACTCTCGAAACAAAGTCATCTTCCCAAATTTTCATCTCAGTAACTTGGAGTTTTTTAAAATTTTCAAAAAAGGCATGATTCACTTTATACTCAAATGGTACTCTCAAATTGCTCATTGGTGTATGGTTTCTCACCAAGTCATAGCACTGTGTTGCCTTCTTTTATGTCATCTTCTTCTAAAAAGTTTATGTCGAGTTTTAGGTAGGGATAAAATATATAGCATACTTACCTTGCATATATTGTAAAGTCAAATCCCGGATCCAAGGAGGGAAATGTCATACTCTTATATCAAGATGTGCATGTGTGTGGAATATTTGGTGGCTAACCTAATTCTACTATGCTCCTTGATAATATATCTCTCTCTTGAAACTTGGAAGTATTTTTGCAAGAGATCAGGGGCTATTTTGTTTTCTCTTCTTTTTTTAGGCGGGCATCTAAGTACCTATTGTTTTCAATATCTCAGACACTTTTGTGTCCATTTTTTATTTCTCTCTTTTTATTTCTTTCTTTTTTTCAATTTTTCTTTTGCCTAGCCCCATGTCTCTTTTCTGCAATGAAACTTTTCAAGAGAGATATTCACAAGAACTTGGAGCATTTATTTTGTGGATAAACCTATCAAGCATATTTTTATGTTCACCCCTAGTGTAGGAGTAAAACATTTTGAGGTGGATAAAAATCATATTTTTGCGTACTTCTAGTGTAGAAGCAGCATATATATGTGGCGTGTACGTGATCTTGATCTTGGGAGCATGATAAATCTCTCAACAAGGGTCAACAAGACTTGATAAAACTCAACATAAAGCAAGCAACTTATGTGGAAGGTTTGTATCCTAAAAATACATATATGGCTCTGGTAGGAATTTATCATCATTGAAGAGTATGTGACACTATGATTTTATAATATGTTTTATCAAAAAAAAATTCTCCAAGCACCTTGACAAGAACCGGTAGGATTTCTAAGACAGAACTATATCACACTCCCCAACAACTTAGTCAATATGATTTTCTTATATGATATTTTTTCCCACAAGCACCAAGTATATGTAAGGAATAAACATTATGCATGCCAATCTTAAAGAGCTATATTCATATTCACTTTCAAGTTTTAAACTTAGGTGTGAATCTTGGTTCTTTTTAATTTGCATTTTTTAAATAAGTGCAAGCAAGGAGTAAGCATATGAACAAGTGAAAGAGAATCAAACCAAATTCCAGAAGTTGTGTACAGACTCCTTCACCAGTTCATGGTATGCTTCAATGCTTTTGTTCACATTGAGAGTTGGCACGGCCCCCACACTTCTTCAAAACTATACCTGGCTTTTATTCATAAACAAAAAATGGTGAAAACACAAGGGACTCTTCTGTGAGGAACACCAGAGAGTCAAAATTTCATTGAACTATTGGATTAGCCTAAAATCTAGAAGGAAATAAGAACAAGATTGAACTTTCTAGATTGGATCATTAAATTACAAAAATTCAATCACGTTAATTTCTTCTAAGTTTTCAGGTTCAAGAAAAACTTTCAAACGTTGACCATTTACCTTGAATGTGTTACCTGTATCATCTTGGAGTGTGATGGCACCATGTGATGAGGCTTCAATCACCTTGAATGGTCCTTCCCATTTGCTTCGAAGTTTTCCATGACCAAAGAGCTTTACTCTTGAGTCGAATAGTAGAACCTTATCTCCAGACTTTAACTCTTTGTGCTTGATTCTCTTATCATGCCATCTTTTGGTACTCTCTTTGTAAATCTTGGAGCTATGATAAGCCTTTTCTCTCCATTCTTCCAGCTCAGATATTTGCATCTGACGATTCTTGCCAACTAGATGGAGATCCATGTTCCACTTCTTGATTGTCCAATGGGCCCTAAATTCCAATTCAACAGGCAAATGACATGTTTTCCATATACAAGCTGATAAGGTGACATACCTATGGGTGTTTTATATGCTGTTTGATATGCCCATAGTGCATCATGAAGCTTGAACTTCCACTTCTTCCCCATCTCATCCACGGTCTTTTGTAGAATGTTCTTGATTTGCTTATTTGATGTTTTAGCTTAACCGCTTGTTTGGGGATGGTATGGAGTTACAATGTTGTGCTTCACCAAGGACAAAGGGTTTTTGTGGTGAAAATTTTCATCACAAAAGCTTATTTCTTCGCCACAAATCAGCCTTTGTGGTGATTTTTTTTAATCACCACTAGTCGCCACAAATACTCGCCTCATAGATACTCTAGTGATGATTTTTTGTTCCTCACAAATAACCATACTCATTAGTGACAAATTGTACTTCCACTAGTAACATGGCCATTTGTGGCCCATTTGTTGTCACAAAAACATACGCATTAGTGGCAAAAAATCATGCCACTTATAATGTTTGTAGTGGTAATAATAGTTGACATAACTATACCGAATTTATGGCAATATAATTGTCACAATTACCATTGTAAAAGTGGCAAAATTAATGGTCAGTAGAGACTACATATTAGTGACAGAAGTTTTGCCATTACATGAGTTTATCGTGTCGATGCTTGTTCTCACTATTAAACTATAATTGTGTCTAATGGTTTGCCACAATATGTGGTAACTTGTTAACACAAATACTTTTTATTTGTGATGCAAACTCATCCTCACATGTAAGTTACAGTGGCAAACCTTTGTCACACAAAATTATTTGTGAGAATTGATAAGACAAATTGTATCAATAGTTTCATCAAAAAAAGCATAGCATTTGTAGGAAAATATTAGTCAAGACAAGTTTTGTCACAAGATAAGTTTCAATTGTGTGAAACATATTAGTTGTTGTGGCGACCGAGTCATCATTATTATTCTTGTTATAGTGACAAAAATAACTCAAACAGATGTACACTATAGCAATATGATCCTCTCAAATCTGCATGAATAATATTTATTTTAGTAATTTAAATTTGGCAATCAAGCAGTACACAAATTTAAGGACACTCACAATCCTCAAAATAACTATCTTGACACTACTTTAATGTCTCACAATAATTATTCAACTAAAGGGTTTAAACTCTAAGATGTTGGAGCCTACGAGGCACCATAATGTATGCGTGCGATTAATTCAGCCATTTGATTATCAAGTTGTTCTCTCACTGGACGAGCAACTTCTCCACTCTGTGCTTGACGCAAAGGAGTAAGCTCATTACGTTGGGATTGCTGCTCTTCTTGCAGGTGTGCATTTGTTTCGACCACCATGGAAACTTGGCCTTCCAAAGCTTGTGTCTATTGCTCAGCAGCCTCAGCACGTTGCTCAGCAGCATCTGCACATGCTTGAGCTGCAGCTTCACGCTGTTCAGAAGCCTCAATTTGCGCCTGCAGTCTGATCCTTTCCTCAGCCACTCGGTTTACAAAACGAATGCCAACACCACGTGAATGGTTTGTCTTTCGACCAAGAACTAGTGCGAAGTGCTCCATTATGGGCACCGGCATAGAAGAAATCTTTTTTTGATGTATCCCAACAGCTTCCTGTAGCTTGGTCTGCAAAGCATAAAACAACAAACCAATTAAGAATCCATATACTAAGCAACAGCCAAAAACGTTCATGTAATGAATCATAAGTATGAGCACAAATTAATTAGCTATAGGATAGTGTAATGCGAATGTTCTCAGAGTTGCTGGTGTTGAAAACAAAATCTATAGACATGTTATCTAATAAATGAAAAATACAGACAAATTAAATAATATGTGAAATTTATAAACAACTCATTAAAACAATATTGTTCATGATTAGAGATATTGCAAACACATCATAGTGTCCAGACTTTTCAACTCATTAAATGAACAATACATCAGAAACCATGTTGCAGAGATAATAACCATGAAAGAGTCATACAGAATTTTATTAGCATATTTTTCATATAAAAACACATCACTTCCATCTAATCCTAGTTCAAAAGGTAGGATACAGATCGACATGTTCATACCATTATTTCTTCACCCGTTGGAATGGACCATGTCCCATTAGCCTTTTGATATGTAGCCCTCCAAACTTGTATACCAGTTTTCGGGTCTCGTTACGTTGGAATAAAAAAAGCATGTATTCACTAATTCAGAACAATTTGTAGCAAATAAAAAATCTGCCTGATAACTTTTTTCTCACCAGATCGTAAGCGATTTGAGCAATTGATCTAGTTCCTACTTTGGACCCCATCTCTTGCTTTCCTCTATTGATAGAGTTTTGGTTGCTGCTTTTCTGGTTTATAAATTGCATAAATGTGTCATTAACAATAATGTAGCATTGTAATTTAGGACGAGTAGTATGTACCTGAAAATCATCATCTGTCCACAAATTCCTTATCAACCATTGCCAACCTTCTGGTGAGACATGTTATGGCCTTGGCTTCTTGTTATGGTAAGCTTGAAGCAGACGATAACATCAATTATTGTATTGACTCTCTACTTGTCTCATCGCACAATCTTTATCTTCTTCTGAAAGTTCAGGAAACTTTTGTTGTACAACAACGATATGATGTAATAAGCACTCATTGAATGCAATGATAACCTATGCATACCAAATATATTTATTTCATATGAAAATTCACTTGGAGTGGTATAGTTCTTACAAGAACTGTTATCTCACTTTTAAATAAACTAGCATGTTCTCCACACACTTTTACAAATTCTTTAGGGAACTTTATATCAATATTGTTTCCTTTTGCTCTTCTCTTGCGAAGTTGATCACTGGTTGTAACTTTTCTACCACTCTTCTTAGCAGGGTCTAGTTAATATAGGGGGGAAACAACAATAATTAGATGTAATATTTTATATTTCTACTCTATACTATACATAAACAAATTCAGATAGTATATCAGTTTCTAGTTACTTTAGTGGTTTTCTAAAATGCACTGCTTACTATTATGTTGTGTAAAGAAACAATTCCAGATCAGCATAACAGAGCCTACTGAAAGTGAGCCTAGGCAATTTAGTGAAATAAACAATAGTGTACAGAAAGATTTTCATATTAGCTAAGCACCTTCAGTGTTGTGTGCTGCAGCATTTATTTGAATATTTTCATCCATGGCCTCGTCTGAATCCAAATGATCACTTGTATTGTCAGCTCGAGAGGCACGTGGACATAAACTGCTTGTTCTTTCCCCTGTAGGAGTAAACATTTTATAAAAGCGGGATTTTTATACCAACAAGAATACAAGCCACAAGTGTTCATAGTTGCTCCAGTTCGTACTTATGAACAAGTCATGGTGCATTCAATTGTTTGAGAACTAACAGGCTTTGGTTAGCTTACAGTGCAATTGGTGGAGACTAATGGAATCAATATCAATATTAAGATATTGAGTTCCCCGTAACTAGCATTTTCGACTGGTATTAAAGCCGGCTGAAGCTGTTTTGTTGTGAGAGAAAAATACTGTAGATTCTAACTGATAATCCGACTGATAAGTTCAAACGAACAGACCACAAAGCCGGGTAACCGGATCTTTCAAAAAAAAGTCCAAGACATCAATAGAAGAAGCTTGGATGAAAAGACACTAAGATTTGAAGCTGAACAAAGGCTACAGCCAGTCACCGAATAAATTTCCCGAAGTTCCGTTTTTTGGAGGCAAACAAGGGGGTTGTTGTATGGAGAACGTCATGAACAATAGTGCATTTATCCAGATTGCCTAAACCACGAACCCTCTAGGACAACATAGAGAACGATCTAAACACATAGTATTCTTGGGGGCAACACAGCACCTAGCCGACCTGTGACCTCGCAGGGGCTCCCCAGGCCAGAAATTACAGACGACAGCAAAACTAGAGACACAGAGAGACAAACAACTAACTGTACAAACCAAAGGAAAAGGCAATTTCATCGGAAGACGAACACACATAACAGACACCACAACAAGATATCCCCTTTGTACAAACCAAAGGAAAAGCGCATCCAAAAGCAGAACGTGGCAAGTTGTGGGTAGAGCTTAGGGGGCCATTTGCGTTGTCCCTTCCCTTCGTATTTTGGCTCCATTCACCACCCCATTGGCATTTGCAGCCTTGCAATTGCATACTGCTGGCTGCACGGAATTCTTTGTTCCAGAAATAAGAGCCTGTTTGGTCATTCTCCATTCACCACCCCAATGTAGAATTTGGATTCCGGATACCAAAAAAAATGAAGGGTGCTAGAATTTGTAATTATTTCCTTTGTATCGTGAAATTCTCCAAATAATAGGTTTGGTGTATATAGTTGGATTCTAGAATCCAAGTGTTTCAATCTCATTATTATTTTTCTATCTCATACTCATTTTTCTTAGGATATCCAAATATGACCTAAATACTCGAAAAGGCTGAATATGTGGAGCACATCGTTTCCCTGCTCCACCAATAATGCACTTAGAGGCGCTTGCTCTGCCTAATGTTGTTGGCTGCTCTAGAAAATGACGGAGCTAATAAACCGATTCTTATGGAATCTCAAAGCATAGATCCTAAAGTAAGAGCTATGCCAAATGGTGGACCCTTGTATATGCTAAATACAAAGAGTTGTCTTGTAGTGTCAACTGTCAAGTTCGCAATTAGCAGATGAACATTATTTTCATTCCCTTTGTCACCATCATCTTCCTAGCATGTGATGGTATACGTACTGTACCATTCATGTGTGCCCTGCCAATAATGTCATTCTCACTACCATATCGTGTTTGTGTGGTGACAAAAAAAAATGTCAGCTGGTATATGTACTCATATATCCAGTTGGAGGACCCTCTCCCCTCCCGTAGCTTAATAAAAAAAAAGTGTAATCTTATGAGATCGATCGATATTTTCAGCACCACTTCTTCTTTTTTGGAAAAAGAGAAGGTACTAGAAAGAAAACGTAAGGCATGACATGATAAAGGTGAGTGTCTTTGGTTATTTCAGACTGTTTGGCGGAGTTTTTGCAACAAAGATAAACTTTTAAAGTAGCGATTGGATCCATAGGGATTTTAAGATCGAATCCAGATAGAAAAAAATGTCAAAATCCTAAAATTTCATTCAATCACCCTAGAATTCTAGACGATTCTATCACACAGACACAGAATCCAAGGAACATCAGAGATTATTTTTATCCACGATTCGGATTTTAGAATCCCATTCAAACATGCTCAGCTCATCAACCAGAAACACTGCGTCGTAAGCATGCACGCTTGCTGCTGGCTCTAGTGGGCGTCTTCCTCCTCGCAGTGCTTGGTGTACTTGGCGGCGTCGAGCAGGGCGTCTGCCTCCCCGGGGCTGCTCGGCTTCACCTTGATCATCCACCCATCCTCGTAAGGGCTCGTGTTGATCTGGATCATCATCATGGAGATTTTGCATTATATATTGTCAAGGAGAGATTAATTAATTGCAAGTAAAAAAAAAGGTGATCGATCGATCGATCCAGGAGGCGAGCTAGCTAGAGGCAAGCATGCATGCAGTAGCAGTAGTACCAGGCCGGGCGTCTCTGACAGTTTGGAATTGACCTCGACGACCTCGCCGGAGATTGGGGAGTTGACGTCGCTGGTGGCCTTCACACTCTCCACGTTGCCGAAGGATGCTCCCGCGGAGACCGTCGTGCCGGGCTCTGGCAGCTCCACGAACACCACCTCTCCAAGGTGGTCCTGCATGCATGCAGCGACCAGCGAGTAACAAATCAAGTGTTTAAACCATCCAATATGTATATATATTTCTGAACATTTTGTGTGGTCTGCAAATCAAATTAAGCATGTGTGTGTATGTTCAGTTGCAAATTAAATACTATGATATATAATTCTATATAAGATTCTATAATGAAATATTTGTCCCTAGCTTGTAATGTTTCTTGGAATTACTTGCTCTCGTCAGCTAGCTAGAAGAGCTCAGCTGACAGACAACTGGATCGAAAGTATATACAAGTGTCGCTAGTTCACTCAACTCACTGCACCTGAGCATGATCCGTGATGCCAACAGTGGCCACGCCGTCGCCTGTCTTGACCCATTCATGAGACTGAGTGTACTTCAACCCATCATGAACTGCATGCGCAACACACCAAAATAACAAAAATACAAAGACTATTACTATCAATAATAAAGACAGTAACCCAATGTTTGTTTCCCAGCAGAGGACCAGCATAAGAGACGCTAGCTACCATACCAGTGGAGACGAATCTGGAGATGGAGAAGGCCGGGGCAGCGGCAGCCCTGGCTCCTCCGGTGCCCGAGAGCTTGAGCGCATTGGCGGCTGATCTCGCCCACAGCCTCAGAGCCATCCTGCACTGCCAATGCCGGACGACGGTGTGCTGACCAGAGAAGAGGAAGGCGTAGATCGATCTCTTACTAGCTAGTAGTAGTAAGGAAAGCTAAAGCTAGTAGTGGTTGAGCAGCCAGTGGTGGTGGACTAGTGGGCGAAGGGCAAAACAGTGAGAGGATTGGATGATAGGGGATAGCTTTTGATTGTTTGGCTCAGGAAGAACGGTGTGCAGGGATAGGGTTTGTGTGGTTCTGGAGTGTGCGTAGCCTCAATATCTGTACGTCCTTCTTTAGACCTGCACCGGCCGTTAATTCTTACTTACCAACTTGATACGAAATCAAGGGCAGTTACGGTTAGTGAGGGGCCTGTAATGTCAGGAAATAGTAGATAATGCTATTAGCGTCCGCAATGGGGAGGTGAGAAGGGGGCAGTAAGAGGTTACAACGGGCAGTAGAGATAGAAGCAGGTAATAGTTGCTGCCAGAAGTAGTGCTACTGGCAGAGTGGGCGCTGACCCCGGCGGAGGGAGAAGGGGCGGGATGAGGAGACATTCATATGGCGGGGAGAAGGAGCCAGAGCCGTCGGTGTCCAACAACGAAGATGGACGCGTCCGAAGGGTCGCAATCGCTGACTCGAATGAGGTTGGATTGGCGTTTTTTCTATTGTGTGGCCCACCTTACTTATGGATGTACACTATAGTACATTGTGTGGGTGAAAAAATTACTGTTTACTAATACCGTCTGTTTTTTGGGCCCGCCTTCTTACCGAGTCTGATAAAATACACTGCAGACGTGTACTAACTTTATGACAACGATTGGATTAAATTAGTTAGGGTATACATACAGTACAATGCATGGTTATGTAGTTATTAACAATGTTCAGTTTGGGGTGGTACAACAGATTCTGTAGCTGCAGAGCATGCATGAATATTATGTCTCTCAATGTCAGCAAACTAACTAATAATGCACGCGATGGTACCTATTTTTCACTGTACGCCCTGTAGCACTGTCTAGTACGCATGAGAGTTTTGCATTATATTTCAAATAGTTAAGGACTATAGTACCAATGGCCTTGATATCATTTGAAAGGTAGCAATATAAGTCGGTCACATAGAATTCAACACGAGTGATTTAAAGCCACTCCTTGTAACTTGTGCGATGGCAGCGATGTTGCGGTCCAAAGCTGAAGAAAGGGTGTAGACAAAGTGATCAGATGCGTAACGACTTCACTAGTAACAGGAACAGGCTGTATTCCTGGTTCTCAATCCCTTCAGTCCTGATTTTAGAACCGGAAGCACGAATCTAGAACTAAATGGCCCCTCTTTTAGTTCCGGTTTCGCGCCCTGGACTAACCTTTAGTCCTGGTTGGTAATACCAACCGGGGCTAAAGAGGCCTCCCGGCCTGACCACGTGGGCCGCCCCTTTAGTCCCGGTTGGTACCAATCGGGACTAAAGGTTTTCTTTTTTTTTCTTTTTTTGTTTCTATTTTTAATTAGTGAATCATTTTGGTTTTTGAATACGCATTCTACGCTGCTAATAATATACGTATTCTACACGTTTAAAATGTTCGAACATTTTGTACAAACTAAAGTATGAAACTAACGTATATATTACATGCATATACTTATATTGTATGTTATTTTATGTACATATAATATGTATATATATTACAAATAAATCTTGCATTGTATATTCTATCATATCATTGGGATAACAAATTCACTTCATCTGGTTTGGCTTCTATATTTCGTTCACGTCATTGTAGAACTCACCGGCGGGGTTTATGACCTGGTCATTAAGAAATCCTGCTATGGTCTCTTGAATTGCTTTCAGTTGGTCACGTCGTATGACTTTTTTCTTCGACCATAGAGTCTTCAATAAAAGTCAAAGGAAAAATATTAATATATATATATGTGTGTTGGTCACGTGATTATGAGCAATAAAAGAAATTGTGAATATATGAATATATTTATATAACGGACTTTTAGGTTCTCTTCAGAAGTTCTTTTTGAGTACGCCATGATGAACTCGCAAACATAGTATCCGCAGTAGTTGTTCTCCTATTCTTACCTTAGAACCCACTTTTACGAGAAAAAAGATCTGGTGAATTGAAAGCATATATGGTGTTAATTGAATTATATATATATATATATATATATATGTAGCTAGTACTTACTTTGTGTGCGATTACATCCAGTGGCGCTTTGCAATGTTCCATGTGGTGTTTCTCAATGAAACTTTTCCAAACACTGCGCCCAATAAAATAAAAAATTAATTTGGTATTTAATAATTGTTGCAGTTAAGAAATCGGGGTATATATAGTTGCTAGAGAGACCAAATTACCCTTGGATAATATTTATCACGTCTTGGTACTCTGTTTGCTCTTTTCTTAACGAGTCTAAGATGCTCAACCGACTATTGGCCATATCGATGACCATCAATATCCAGTGATTGCTGCATATGTTTTTATACACAAATATGATCGACATTAACTAGAGTCAACATATATATATGGGAGATAGCTTAGCTAGTAAGCAAATAATTGAACAAATGTCCATATGATCGACATTAATTATTTAACACTCACTTGAAGTTGTAGGGTTAGAGTATGTCCTTATTTTGTTGGTTCACTAAGAACCTCATGAGATTTTTCTCGAGTTCAGCTTTCCATTGAGACGGGGGATCAGGGTGTTTGAATACGACATTTGGATCAACGAAACCAACATCATTATCCTTTCTCTTTCTGAGTTCTGTCATCTCATATCTGCATATATAAAAATATAGTGTGAGGATATATAATTTATATATATACATGTAGCTTTATATATACACACTTTAATAGTAGAAAATAATCACACTTACAGACAATAGCAGCTAATAAGACTTCTTTTTCTACATGGGTGCGTGACCGTCGGTGTCGTTCGGAACAGGTTCGCTGACATGTGCCTTTCCAAATACTACTTTCACATCCTTAACCATATTGAGTACATCCTCACCAGTTCGGTTGCCCGGCTTGGTCTGGTGGTCTGTCTTACCTTTAAAATGCTTGCCTTTCTTTCTTAGGGGTGATTCGTAGGAAGAAATCCACGATGGCCAAGGTACACGACATTTCGATATTTTTTCAAGAATATACCTTTAATGGCATCGAAACAGTACGTGCATGTATTATATCCCTTGTTTGATTGTCCTGAAAGATTACTTAGAGCAGGCCAATTATTGATTGTTACGAACAACAATGCTCGCAGGTCAAAGTGCCCTTGTTTGTGCTCATCCCACACACGTACACCTGGTCTGTTCCACAAAAGTAGAAGTTCTTCAACTAGTGGCCTCAAGTACACATCGATGTCGTTGCTAGGTTGCCTTAGACCTTGGATGAGCACTGGCATCATAATAAACTTACGCTTCATGCATAACCAGGGAGGAAGGTTGTATATACATAGAGTAACAGGCTAAGTGCTATGACTACTGCTCTGCACCTCGAAAGGATTCATACCATCCGTACTTAAAGTAAACCTTAAGTTTCTTGCGTCATTTGCAAACTCCGGGAATTCTCTATCAATTGCTCTCCACTGGGACTCATCAGCAGGGTGTCTCAACATATTGTCTACCTTACGGTCTTCTTTGTGCCATCGCAATAACTTTGTATGGTCTTTATTTCTGAACAGACGTTTCAAGCGTGGTATTATAGGAGCATACCACATAATCTTGGCAGGGATTTTCTTCGTGGGACGTTCGCCCTCAACATCACTAGGGTCATCTCGTCTGATCTTGTACCGCGATGCATGATATACCAGGCATGCATCTAACTTCTCGTACTCCTCGCGCACGGTAGAGGATGCAGTCATTAGGACATGCATGTATCTTCTGGATTTCTAATCCCAAAGGGCAGACTACCTGTTTTGCTTCGTACGTAGTGACGGACAATTCGTTATCCTTCGGAAGCATCTTCTTTTGGATTTTCAGTAACTCCCAAAATTCTTTGTCAGATACACCATTCTTTGCCTTTCATTGCAGCAATTCCAGTACGGTACCCAACTTTTTCTGTCCCGCATCACAAGTTGGGTATAACAATTTCTTGTGATCCTCTAGCATATGCTCAAACTTGATCTTCTCCTTTTCACTTTCGCATTCTCTTTGTGCGTCACGAATGGCCTGACCAAGATCATCAGCGGGCTCATCTTCTGCCACTACCTCTTCTTCAGCTTCCCCCATTGCAGTATCATTGAAGGCACCATATTCAGCAATAATGTCATCATCGTCCCATTGTTCTTCTTCACCTTCTTCCATTACAACCCCGGTTTCCCCGTGCTTCGTCCAACAAATATAGTTTGGCATGAAACCCGACTTCAACAAGTGTGAATAAAGACTCCTTGAGCTAGCATATTCCTTCAAATTCTTACATATGGCACATGGGCAGCATATGAAACCATCGTGTTTGTTTGCCTCGGCCACACGTAAGAAAGAATGCACGCCCTCAATGAACTCTTGGGAGCGGCGATCAGCATTGTACATCCAATACCGGCTCATCTGCATTACATGGCATACATATCATATTAAAACCTAGAACATAATTAGTTAATTATACGACATGCATGCCACCACACAAGGTATTAATTTATGAAAGTCTCGCTACAATGTAGATAATCCTAACTACCACTAAAAAAACTAAAGCTAAAATGCACTTCAGCAGCATAAGAATTTCGCGACCAATTCCAACTAAAACAGACAGATCATGCGTTTGTTCAACATCTATGGGCTTCTTCCGCAGGATCACTGCCTCATCAGCCGCCGTAGCCGCCTGTGCAAGAGAGTTTTGCATGTGTTCAACATACTCTTTCTCCTAGTACCAGCCTAAACATCCAGTGCCATCCCACTGAAATTAAAATAAAAAATTAGAACTTTAATCACAATCATCATGAAAATAAGTATAAATTAACCATAATCATCAAATGTGACAAAATAACTCATATTGTGATCCGGACACTTGTAGAAAATACGGCCCTTGTTGGGACACTCCTTCCTCACCCGGTACTCCATCACAATCTTCTCCTCACACTTGCCGCATGCAATGAGAGGGAGGTCCGGCCTCAATCGCTTTGAAACCCGATGAGAGACCGAGGACCCGGAAGCAGTTGACATTTACTGTCTATACTCATTTTTAATATAATATAAATTTCTCATTTTATAAACAAATAAAATTAAAAAAAAACTCTAAAATTCTCTATAACTCTAAACCATGAAGTGTGATATGCATGCTAGAAATAAAAGCTAAATACTAGTTTTGAATAACTACTTTAACCTTCCTTCGTCAAAATATGCAAATTTTAAAGTAATTTTGAGCTTAAATGGCTTACAAATAAAAAAATCCACCATAAAAAAATCACATATATCTAGTCCATAAAATGAGATATGCTACTGATGAAACATGAGAGTATAAAATTAGTAACCTTTAGAACCGAAGAATCGATGGAGAAATCAAAAAAATCTTGTGATTACCGACGATGAGGAAGAAGAGAGGTCGGCGATGAATTAAGAACACTGAGCTCGAAGCGACTCGGGCTCGGGAGGAAGAAGGGCTATATAGGAGGGGACCTTTAGTCCCGGTTGAAGACAGAAACCAGGACTAAAGATCATTTTCTAGTCCCGGACGGAGCCTCCAGTCGGGAGTAGACTTTTACTCCTGGTTGGAGGGACCAACCGGGAGTAAAAGTTAACCTTTAGTCCCGGTTGGTAGCTCCAACCGGGACTAAAGTTCCCCTGCAGTAAAAGCCTGCCGCAGTAGCCGTTGGGTAGGGACCTTTAGTCCCGGTTGGAGCTACAAACCGGGACTAAATGTCTCTCTAGTCCCGGACGCGAAAAATACAAGGACCAAAGCCAAATTTTAAGCTGGATCAAAGGTCGTTTCTCTACCAATGCTTGGTGTTCATAAAACAACCTATGGAGGCCAGCCGATCCATGCACTAAACATGTGGGTAGAAAGTGGCAAAAATATTCGTGGGAAAAATCCATTATCTCTCAACACTATCGTCGTGGTCCAATTTTTCTCCTCAGACTCTAAAACAAAACATCTTATCTTCAGAACTCTCAAAATTGTTCAAATTACCTCCCCACTCTAGATTGTCGTGGTTTCGAAGGCCCCTTTATTCTTTTTTTCAGTTAATAAAAAGCTAACAAATACTTGGTAATATTTCTAAACCACGAAAAGGCCTCTAAGCTTCTACAAACTCTGAGAAAAATCCTAGAGATAGATTAGGACATGATAAATCCAAATAAAGTATTTAGAGCACTAGGAAAATGGAAAATATAAAAAAAACTAGAAAACTCCTAAAACATTCTAATGGATGTCTAAATGTGTTTTTAAAACTTTTTGCGGCAAAAATATGAGATGCAACCGGCATCAATGCAACATAAATTACTATTGAATGCAATGTTATGCATTCGTGTTGGTTGCATCTTAAAGTTTATAGGTTCAATTAGAATGTTTTGGGAGTTTAATATACTTTTTAATATTTTGCCATATTTCTATAGCTAAATCTAATTTTCGAAAGCTTATAGGGATATTTTTTGTGAGATCAAAAAATTTTATTTGAAATTGTAGTATCCCCATCTATATCAAAAATGTTATTTAAGGTTTTAGAAGCTTAAAGGCATTTTATGTGTTTTAAAAACCTTATCAAGTATTTATTGGATTTTTAAACAAAAATGATGAAATTGTCTTCAAAACCACTTGTTTTTTTATTGGCCTTCAAAACCACTTCAAATATGGGTAGGAAGGTATTTTGATTGGTTTTGCAGTTTTGGATGTAAGATGTTGGATTTTAAAGCTCCAAGATTCAAGAAGATAAAAAATACTTGGACAAAGTCCTTCTGACGTCACTTAACTATTGTTGTCTGATTTACCTACTCAAACTAGACAATTAGATAATTTGTCCCCTCTATTAAAACCGGTTGTTTTTCTCCTTAGATGGTTTTCAAGGTGGCTTAGTCTAATGTGGCACTATTGTTAGACGTTCTACATGGCACCACGTCAGTCACGGGGGAGATAAATTGGACTACATCAATACTTCAGGGGTCAAATAGACTTCACCAAAAAAATATAGAAATAAATCTTCAGAAAAACTACCCAAATATTAAAAAAAAATTTAAATCCCAAAATTTGGTTTAATCTTAGAAGTTCATAGGATATTTATTTTAGCTCAGAAAAATATGAAACCAGTTTTAGTTTTTTATAAAATCACGATCCATATTAGGATGCATAGATTGCAATTGTTTAGATCTTATATGGTCCTACTTTTGTGTTTATTTACTGGTACATACTCTCATTTTCTATTATAATTAGGAATACATTGTACATAGAAGTTTGTCTCCAGTGACAATACAAGTAGTATCATTCAACCACCTCATAGTTGAACCCGAGGTAAACGGGTTCAACCACAGGTAACAAAATTAGTTCACAATATTTTGCTAATTTATTTCCACGTCGTTCTCATATGCCAATTTGTGCTAATAATTTAAATGTCACCAAATATAATTCAAATGCATGTTTCTAAACAAGAAACAAAAAATATATGCGGTAAAATGTTGTTTCTTTGTGATATGGTGGTATCTATCTAGTATGACCTATACGAGTTAGCACCAATCAGGTAGCTATATTGTTCATTTCCGATCACATTAGAAAAAGCATGCAGTCATATCATATCCATTTCGACCATCTGACGTGGTGCCATGTCAAACTAAACCGTCTTGAAAACCACCTAATAAGAAGGAAAAAAAAAGAACTGATTTTGGTAGTTGAAGGAGCCAAAGCATGAGAAGGTATAAATCGGACTACATCAGTAATTGAGGGTGATCATAGGATTTTTTTCCAAAATGTTGTCCAATGCATTTTTTTAGCACTATATACTTTCCAATGCATGTAGTTAACAACGACGGGCAGGCCCACGGCCACCTTATGGCCTGTTCGATCGTTCACGCGCGCAGGCGGAATTGGGTTGGGCCGGATTGGTTTTGGGTTGGGTTCGTGCGTCGTCTCTCATCCCTTTCTATACCTTGCCGCGGCTCGCTGCCAACGCAAGCGGCAAGCAGGGCACCCACATGGCTGCGCGGGTGGGCCTCCTCCTCCCGCACGCGCTCCTCGTCTCCTCCGCCCGAGCTCTCCCCACGCCCCGTGCTCGCCTCCCTTATCCCCCTCCACCCATCCCTACCTACCGCCGCCGCGCCTCCTCCTCCTCCTCCGCCTCCCGCCCCCGCCGCGCGTCGCCGCGTCTCCTCGCAGTCCGCGCCATGGCTTCGGGGAACCCCTACGCCGCCGAGCTCTCCGCCGCCAAGAAGGCCGTCACCCTCGCCGCCCGCCTCTGCAAGGTTCGTGGCTGCCATGGTCCAGCTACGGCTGCGGGCATAGTCCGGTGCTTTAGATTTCAAACAATAATACTTACTGACAAGTGAAAACACTGAACTATCTGGACCAGTCTGAATCGTTGGGTTTCACGCGCCAGAGATGGGGAAGAACCACTGTAGCGTAGTTTATACTTAATGTTTTATCTGGGTATAATATAATGTATTTCATTTTCATATAGCTAGTATAATGGATTGTATTTCATGGTATACCAATTGCTGTGGTTTATTTACGAAAATGAAATGCTTGTGTAGCCGTACAGGCTTGTATTGGTGGTCTTAATTCTGATAAAAAGCCTCACAGATGGTGATTGAGTGGTGTATTTGATTGTCTAGACCCATGATACTGTGCAGTTTGGATTTATTGCTATTGCTTTGTGTTTCCTCCCCAGACAGTGCAACAGGACATTGTGCATTCTGGCGTTCAGGCCAAGGCAGACAAAAGTCCTGTCACGGTGGCTGATTATGGTACATGCTGAAATTTATGTTTAGTACTGAATCATTGATGCTTTTGAGTTGCATCCACAAACCAATTCACTCCTAAAGCCAAAGCTTATGAACAAAATCTGTCCAATTCGTTCATATGCGGGCTCCCTTGGGTATGGAATAGAAGTCGGCTGTATTTTTTTTCATGTAAGCCATGGGAGATAGGGCTTAAACTTACTGGCTTCTGGCATGCATTAACCAATTGACACCAAAAGCTTAAGCAACTAAGAGGAGCAGATACTTACCTATAATTCAACATATGGCAGTACTAAAATCAAGTTTGGCAGTACCAAAAGTTAGCTTTTTAATGCTTGTAGAGAACTAGAGATGTTGTTAATGAGAGTTGACTATGGTGGAAAACATTCTCCGACTAATATGTTGGTCATCTTAATGTGTGAAACTTGTGCTTTCCCCCAACTCGCTGTTTACTTGCCACTTTTCTCTTCACACATTAGGATCTCAAATATTGGTCAGTCTTGCCTTAAAGATGGATGTAGCATCTGGACCGTTTTCATTGGTTGCTGAAGAGGTAACTATACTATTTTTTTCTCTTACTTGTTTCCATGTAGCATTCATTAGTACTTTCTGCAATTAATAGGCATCAAGTGCTTATGTAGGACTCCGAAGAATTGAGAAAAGAAGGCGCTGAAGAAATTTTGGAAGATATTACTGATCTCGTGAATGAAACCATCGTTGATGATGGTTCATATAACATTTCGTTTACAAAGGAAGGTATACTCTCTGCAATTGATGATGGGAAGTCTGAGGGAGGTCCATCTGGACGACATTGGGTGCTTGATCCGATTGATGGTACTAAAGGGTGAGTTTGGCAACTTAATTAGTAGGTTTCATATTTTTGTACTATAATAAATGTTGGATTCTTTCTACCATTTGCATTACCATATGTTGTAGCTTTTCTATTCTTGCTGACTTAATGTGCTTCTACATTATTTCTGATGCAATTAAAGTAGCAGACACCACTATCTTGTTCGTCTCCTAAACCTATATCTCTAATGTGTGAGCACTAGGATGTATTCTTTTTTTTTTATCAATTTCAAGCTGAATGATTTATCTCCATTTTATTAGGTCTATGAACTGCAGTAAAATAGACTGATACATTCGATATGGCATGGAGCTGTGTACATACATGGCAATATAACATTTCTCTTTTCTAAATTGATGCAAGGTTTATGAAGTACTTCCAAAGGCATTTATACTAAATGCTAATGTTAATTTGTATTGTATGTATCTTTTTTGTTTCTATTCTTAAATAGTTAAATTACAAAAGGCTTATACAGATTCAGTGTTTATCCATGTTCCACTGTATACAAGTCCTTGGAATGCCTTGCATTTATTTATGGTGATGATTCATTGCTACCTGATAATACTGAATAACTGTTTGGCTTCCTTTCTATTCGAGATTTTAGTTAATAGATAGCTGTTCACCACTTATTGCCAGCCTTGCTAATAATTGCCATTCCTTTATCTGAATTTTCATTTTATGATCTGAATCAGTTTCTTGAGGGGACACCAATATGCCATTGCATTGGCTCTGCTTGATGAAGGTAAAGTCGTTTTGGGTGTATTGGCTTGTCCAAATCTTCCATTGTCATCAATAAACAACCTCAATGGTAACTCTTCGGGAGATCAAGTCGGTGCCCTGTTTTCTGCAACAATTGGTTGTGGGGCTGAAGTAGAGTCCCTATATGGCTCCCCACCACAAAAGGTTATAGCTCTTTTGTTTTGATCAGTAGTCTTAAGTTCTTAACCCACCTACCTCCTCTCGTACAACAACATTTAGTTTCTCTTGCTCATTATTTGGTTATAAGCTTCAATTTACTGACTCTTGGTGAACTTTAATTTTAGATTAGTGTTTGCTCCATTGACAATCCTGTCAATGCATCATTTTTTGAATCCTATGAAAGTGCACACTCCATGCATGATTTGACTGGATCTATTGCAGAGGTAGTTCTCAAACTATTCTTTGCTTACTCGATATCCACAGGAGCGCATAAGTAATCTGGTTTTTTAATTCAATCAGAAACTTGGTGTCCAAGCTCCACCGGTTAGAATTGACAGCCAAGCAAAATATGGTGCTCTGGCCCGAGGCGACGGTGCCATTTACTTGCGCTTTCCACACAAAGGTTATAGAGAGAAAATATGGGACCATGCAGCAGGCTCAATTGTAGTGACAGGTTAATTTGAGGCTCCTTTTTCTTTTCCCAAAACAACTGTTCCAAGATTTGCATTTACTCACATTTTGTCGTTGTTGCCCTTGACAGAAGCTGGCAGGTTAATTTGAGGCTCCTTTTTCTTTTCCCAAAACAACTGTTCCAAGATTTGCATTTACTCACATTTTGTCGTTGTTGCCCTTGACAGAAGCTGGAGGCATAGTAACAGATGCCGCGGGAAATGACTTGGATTTCTCCAAAGGGAGATTTCTCGATCTTGACACAGGCATCATAGCAACGAACAAGAACTTGATGCCATCGCTCCTGAAGGCTGTCCAAGAGGCTATTAAAGAGACAAACCAGGCTACCTCCCTCTTGTAGCTGTTGCAGAGGTCGACAAAAATGTTAGTTACAATTCTGTTTCATTTTCATAGTGACGAACAGGTGCGCATCCTTTTGTTGTGGCATTACAGTTAGTCTACCGAATTTACAACATCTATCCCTTTGGTGATCAGACAGGCACTCTTTTCACTGAATCACAGGATAAGTTGGTTAAATTTGCATCATTGTACAACACCAAATAATGTAAATGGCTGAAAGCTTTGAATAAATTGTGGAATTACTCATGTCAATATAGATGATTTGTTGTAGCGTCCCTTTTTGGATACGATGCAAACCACCATATCCTCATAAACTGCACACTGCTTGCAATGTTTCATGAATACTTATTCAGTAGTGCCTCTCATTTCACTTAATTTGAGTGAGTTTATAGTTGCCTGAAGTCACCTTTTGCATCTGAACTGGTCATAGAAATTGTGAATTGATTTATGGATATTTGGAGTACAGACTTGAATTTCATTTTGAATTCAAATGTAGCATACAAAATCTTTTTAAAACAAGAAATCCCAAACATGAAATGCATCATGAATCTGTTGTTCATGTTGACATGTTTGAAAAAGGATTCAAATTCAAGAGCAAAGGATGTGTTGCATTGTTTCCTCTTCCTGCACACACAAGCTAACTGCTGGAAGAGGCTAGTGGCATACCTCCGTCGTGCCGTTATGTCAAAATTTTATAGTTACTCACTTTTCCTGTCTCTGATATTTGCAGAAGCTGGTGGCACAGACGATTGCTCACTTTCTTGACCTGGCATAGGCACAAACAAGACAGATGAGCGCTTTGGTGCCGGTGCTCCTAAAGGCCATCCGCGAGGTTATTATCGAGAAGAACCAGGCAGGCTGCCTCTCTCTTGTAGCAGTTGGCCAGTTGTAGTGATGGACGAAAATTTTAGTCTCAGTACTGTTTCATATTCAAATTGCCATACAGGTTCAGCTGTATACTACTTTTGATCAAACATGTACCCAGATTCAGGGTCCCAGCATCTCCTCAATCCTCATGTGGTGCACTCCAATCTTGGCAGCTCCCCAGTGAACACTCATCTTGCTTGCATTAGTTGCATAGCTTTTCCCTTTGCCAACTTGTGAATACTGTAGAATTCACCAAAACAAAATACATGCTTATCTTCTACATCCTTTCTCTTTGCCAACTTGTGAATATTGTATAATTCAAAAAAAAAAACTTGTGAATACTGTAGCTGCCAGTATTATGCTGACTGCTCGGAATTTGTCATTGCTGTAACTAAATTATTCAGTGCCTCTCATCGCACTTGCTTTAGTTGCTGAACTAGTTTTCTTTATCTGGAATTCGGATCTCCATAGCTACATTTGGTGACATTTTTTTTAGAAGCGGTAGGTCCAAATTATTGCTGACAGCAGTTTAGCTACCAGCCTACCACCAACCGTTGAATAATTCAATGTACTATACTATATATAAATTCCAAACTAAATGGGGCCTGTACTTGTACTCTTCGGTTGGAAGATGCGAATAGCACAAGTTTGGAAATTTGGTATCACCAACCACATTTGATCGCCGAAATTTGTCTACTAATATGTGGCTCAACAATTGCCAATAGGGGGGCAAACATTCATTTGACATGAGAAACATTTTCTAGAAAATCACACACAAAAAAGGAGGAGCTAGCCTCAATGTAGCAAAGAAAAAGGCCGAGAAGCTCCAAAGCTGAGTGTGTTCTTTTCCCTTTTTATTTTATTATTATAATAATGATACATAACTTTCCTCGATGTTCGAGAAAAAAAAAAGCAATATTTGGAAAGCCACTGACTACTCACTACCATGCAACTGCTGGGCTTCTCGGAGCCCCAACGCCTATCCTTCCTGCCACAACCATTGCCACAGGGTCTGGTCTCCACATCTACAACTTCCGGTAAATATGGACATAGATAGTACGGATATTTTCTAATCAACCAATCATCCAAGGAGGGTCACATAGTCATTTAGTTATTTTTCTCCGATATCCGCATATTTTTTCTTAAATATATAAAAAAATCAGATACGATTTATACAAATTTAAGATGCTCATATCCATTGGATATCCGACATTTCTTAATTTGGATATATTATGTATCCGAAATAGGCTAGCTTTATTTAGCTAACAACTAGTTGAAGGCTTGGCTAAAAATTAAACTAACTATTACCCCAGTTTAAATAGGCCATAGTTAAGAATTAGTGAACTTAACAATTACCTATATGCATCAAATAAGCTCTCTATATAGGGAGTCCTTAATTAGGGATACGGAGAGCCAAATATAAGAAAGTCGTTAGAGATCACTACACTCCTTGGGATCTTTAAAACAAGTATATTTGCAGTGGCTAATAGTATGTGCGCAATGAGAACATGTTTGGAGCAAAAAAGGAAAAAAAACGGAAATGATTGGACGTGAGCGTCCTTCCGTCCGGACAGACCGCTTCGCACGCGCCCCGCATTTTTAATCTAAATAAGCGGGTCCACATAGACAGCTCTGCGCGGCCCGCCCTACGCCTCGCCTGCACCGTTTTTTTAATAAAAAAAGTGGGCCCGGTTATATTTTAATCCATGGACGCAACTTGCCAACGTAGCACAAATATGTGCATGTACATGTATATAGGACACCCTTATCAGAACGTGAATACGTGACATGCATGTATACCAGAAGAGGACATAATCGACATGCATGGAGAGCTGTGTTGAATGACCAGCTAGAGCAACGTATGGCAACCGTCTATACTTGCATGCATGCGCACAAAAAGTGCTTTTGGTCTAAAAAATAATTATACACTACAAATATACATGAGCCTGATCATATTGCGAGTCAACTTAGCATGGTCAACATAAATAGCAACCATTTCTGTATGGACCATAATATGTTAGAGCCACATATAAAATATTTGTAAGGGCCCTGATATGCTAGAGCGACATATATGTCAAATGTTTCAGATGTTCCATATATATATTGCAAAATAGATCTGTATGTTGCATATGTTGCAATGGCTATACACGTATGTTGCAAGTGTATGTTTCAAACGTTTCAGCTGTTTCAAACGTATGTTGTAAGTGTTTTATCTGGACATTATATATGTTACACTGGCTATACACGTATGTTACAAGTGTATGTTTTAAATATTTCAGCTGTTTTCAAACGTATGTTGCAAGTGTTTTATCTGGTTATTGCATATGTTGCAATGGCCATATACATATATTGCAAAAGTATGTTCTAAATGTTTCATCTGTTTCAGACATATGTTGTAGCAAATACTTCATGTTGCAAGTGTTCTATGAGCAGGCGCAGGCAGAGGTGGTCCTCGTGGGCACAACGGTCCCCGCATGTGCGGGAAGCGAAGCGGACACGACAGCAGGCGCATGCGTACCATAGCAGCAGGCGGGGCTGGGCCGGCAGGCGCAGCAACAGCGACGCGCGGCCAGCAGCATCGTGCAAGCGGGAGTGCATGCAAGTGATCGAGCGAGAGAGCCCTGCATTCTACGGACATGCGAAACAACAACGGGAGTCGGGGGGACCAGTGGCTGCCGTATTGATTGATGGGACGAAAATGAAAGGGCGGGCACAGGCGCAGGCGTCCGGACGCATCTCGTAGGCCGAATGTCCGGACGCTAGCAAAGCCAAAAAAAATTGAGTGATCATGTTTTGAGAAGGAGAACAACTTGCAAAATTTTCTTAGAGCATAGAAAAGCAAGCCACTCGTTTTGTGGTTGTAAAATTACTCATGCCACACGTCATAAATGCTAGGAGTAGAATGAAACTGGGCATAAGTGCTTGGAGTAGTAAATAAGAGCATCTCCAAGAGTTCCATAAACCCCCTCCTAATCCTTGATTTTTAGAAAGATGAGAAAACCCCCTCTCCAACAACTCCTAATACTTCCTCCTAAAATTTAAGCACTTTTGAAATCTTGCCCCATTTCGCATAACTTTACACGGATGCGAGCTCGCACGGATACGGCGTTCCCACGCAACATCCTTCTTCCCACGATTTCTTTTTCCTGCGACTCCCTTCTTCCTGGGCTCCACCATCACGACTTGTTTGTCCATTGCGACTTTCCGCGGCTCCCTCCAGGTCAATGGTGGTGTTCCAACGCTCGTCGTCTAGGTGGATGAACAACGCCGCCGCGGACGTAGCGATGAGGTAAGTACTCTGATCTACCGGTTTGCCGTGGGCTTGCTGCGCCGCCGCCATGGCTTCCTGCCAGTCGCCGCCGCTAGGTTTTCCTTGCTCGCCGCTGTTGATGGTCCTTAACTATCAATTTTGACCATCAACATTGCACAAAAAATGGGAGTAAACAACAACATAAGTAGTGATTTATGTTTATAATTGACCTAGTTCTACTTGTACTTGGAGATCTTTGCTTATACAGAAAAACTATATAAAAGTATCAAATATCAAGCACTAGAGGCAATTGGAGCACAGTAGGGCCACCATGGGCCACTTGGTGGGGTCGCTGACCCCACCTGGCGTCGGCCGACATGGCACACTTGTGCCACCTCACCAATCCGTTGGAGTGGCCAAAAAACACACCCCCAAGTCTTCTCCACCATTGATCCCAAGTCTGTGCAAGATCAAGGGCTGAAAATGTGCATCACATGGATAGTTGGACCCACCTTGCATGTCTGTGCTCAAATGGACAAAGGGGCTTCATACCCACACTCTACTACACCCCTAGGGGCCCCACACCAAAGGAAGAGGGCCCACTCATCAGTGGGGGTCGCCCGACATTGTGCCTCGTCGCTCGACGCCACTCTGTGGCCAAACCGCCTCAACTTTGGACACGTGCAAGAAGGCATAGTGTGGAGCAACGTGGTGCGTAGATTTGAGGTGGTTCATTAGCGGTTTGATCCAAGGGCAAGGAAGGCATGTCGCATGGATTGATGACATAGCAATGGCGTAGCCCCTACTCCTCCTAGCACTATAAATAGGACCCCTCTCCCTCACTTGTAACACACCCCAAAGAGAAGCTCTCTCTCTCTACTCCC